GCAGGGCTGCAGGTGATGGAAGGTCGCCGGATGGAGACCGCAGCAAAGGGCGCGGAGCAGTGAGCGAGAGGGGTGGAGGCGGGGGCCGGGGCGGAGGAAATTGACGGCACGTGCCCCTTACGTGCGGGGAGGGCGAGGGGCTTCGCGGGCTCGTATTGCCAACGGCATGTAAACGCGCTGGAGACGCATATTGTGCGCGCCAGATGACTACACGCGGTTAGGTCGCCCCGAAAGCGACGGTTACGTGAATGGCAACAAAATTAGTAATGTAATTGACGTCAAACAGGCAATAATCTTACGAGACCAGATGTGATATGTGTAGGTGAAGTGTTTGCACCACAATATTCAATATTCGCGAGCTTAAGAAGACTAATTACATTTTCTTTACATCCTGTGAATGAATAGAAATCTATGTTTTTTTAAATTTTCTATGTCTTAACTTTATATTATTTCTATGACTTAACTTATTAACTTTTAACATAATTGTATCGCAATTTTCATAAATGAAAAAAAAAAACATTTGCAGGATCGCGACTAGACATTTCAAAATACGAGAAGAAATCGTTGCATATTGGGGGTAATAATTATTTTAGAATATGTGTTTTATTGTCTGGATTATTTTCTTGATTTAAAATCCCCAGATAAACATAAATAATAGGTTATTTTCAAGCACATGTATGAAGAGATGTGGAAATGGTTGCAAACTACTCATTTAAATTTGTGCATCAGTATTGGGTAGTGCAAGTTGAATGCTCAATGCGGAAATAGCTTTTATTACGTATTACCGTCGTATCTTATGTGTCCAGTAACGTCGTACGTGATACAAATGGCGATGTCTCCAAGTAATTACATCGGTAAACCTACATGCAGTGATAGTAACTTATCGGATAGTACGAGGCCCTTAACCTAGTTAAGTACTGAGTGCGAAGTAGTATCAGTGCGAAGTACCAGTTTATGGGATGCAATTATGTTCTTTGACAGTGTGGAGTCCGTCAGTACGGTAGGGGTCATCGGGGAGGATATGGACTAACCAAAGAACAGACTTCGTCATTTCAGCTGGTTAGCAAACACCTATTTGGAATAATATTACTCTTCTTCTATAGCCGTAGATACTTTTCAGGATCACGCCCGGACATTTCACATCCTCGCATACTGCTGACGCAGCATAGATAAATAATTGTAATGCTGCTGGAGAAAACTGCAATTTTTCGATAGAAAAACTATTATTGCCGAGATCTTTTGACGAAAAACTGGACACGTCATGTTCCTATAAGAAGTGCTCTTACGAAAATAATGACCTCAGCAGTTGACTAATCAATCAGTTGAAACTCATATTTTGATTTCGGGAGTACATAATATGAAACCTCAGCATGTTCAAAATTTTCTCAAAAATAACTTCAAAAGTTTTTAACGTTTTCGTAGATAAACCAATAAAAAGAAATGGTCTAGGTTACATTTTCATTTAACTCTAAAGTTTTGAAAATTGCAAAACTTCAAAATTGTTTCGGCGTCTTCCTACAACCACAAAATTGAAGATAAAGATTTTTTCCTTCAAATTATATTTGTTCTCCATAAATGTTAACTATGAAAATCTGACCTTAGCCATTATTAAAGTATATTTAGATCTATTCTTAAAATACATTTTTTTAAACGAAACATTTTCTGAAATAATCGAAAATATTCCTAGGAGCTTGAACTTTAGGAAAAGAATTCCTAAAAATTAATGAATGTTATTGAAAATCGTACAGCTTCGAATGGGGCTCGACTGACAGGAGAGCATTCAGTTTGGAAAAATCCCTACGCATGGTTTAGGCACTAGTTGTTCACAGACTACGGGCAGACAGACGGACGGGCGATTTGCAAAAAACAAAAACAACACTTTTTCGATATTAGGGAATCCCAATACGCGAATTTCTATTGAAATGTCATAATCTATTTTCCACGGCATTACCTAACTTTCTCTATACTACGTTTATTACTGCTTGTATACGTACATATATAATAAGGTAAGAATAATATAATACTCTCGGAGCATTGAGAGAGGGATGACATAAATGTTACACTCCACTTTAAAAATGACGATGGGGGCATTGGTATCTTAAACGAATAATAGAATATGCAGGAATGAGGCATTAAAAATAAGAAAACCTATGATTGAAACGATGATTAGCAAACGATGATTACCTAACGATGATGAGAAAAGAACTAATGATGTTCCTACTTTTAATTTGTTTACTCCACATTGATTCACTACATTGGAACATGGGTTTCCTAAATAAGAGAGCTACCTGCTCACTCCACCCTGGGTTCAGTAAATGATTCAAGGTAGCTCCTGTTACAATTTTAATCACATGAATTTTCCAGGAATTACAACTGCCTTTTAATTGAGTATGGGTTAGATTATAACCATTAGAAGGCTGTTTGAGGTCACTCACATCACCTTGTGCAGTATGAATATCAATGATTTGCACCAACGTGTTTGTTAGCTTGCTTACGTCCACCAGAATGTTTTCCTTGGCTCTGACGTTCACTCTTCCCATACATTTACATAATACATGTACACTTGTGCCTCTTTGCGTATTACATAATACTAGTACACTTGTGCCTCTTTGCGTTGCTAGCTGTTTTTTTTCTTCAGTTTTTGAATAGCTGAGTCCATTATTGTAGTTTAAAAAAATATTTTTCTGTATTTCATTTCCATCGACTGCTTCCTGAAGCAGCCAATAAATCAATTACATCCGGCTATAGATACGATCCGATTTTGTATGTTTTGTTTCAAAATTGTAGTTTGATATTTAATAAATCGTGCATCTCTCTTGTTGAAACGATGACCTTTACGATGTATGTTATTTTGTGTTATTCTCAATGTTAGTTTACCTCTTCTAAACTCACTGATTCGAAAATATCATACGAGAACTTAATGAACCTTGGCGCAAATTTGTTTGCATTGACTCCCCTCGCACGACATGGTTGTTTTTCTCAAAAAACTTTCGAAGTTCTTTCTTACCTTATCAGATAACATATGAATGCATTTTGGAAAATGTATTTGTTTACCATATCAGACAACGGCCGCATCCGTCGCTCAACTGTTCTCGCGGCAGAAAGCAATCAGACCACTGTTGCTCTCGATGTCTCATATTATCGTATAATTAGGATAATGAAATTGTGAGACTTTGTCTATCTTATTTAGTCGCGTTATACATTCACTTAATTTCGCTCTATATATGTTATTGGCAAATTTAATATTCTATTTATACGGTAAAGGGAAACTTAGTGATAATTTTATAATTCAAAGAATGTGAAACGGAATAGTATAAAATCGCTTCATACCCTTTTTCTGTGTCTGATGAATGTCATTATTTGAATTTTTTTGTATTGTAGACTTCCATATGTACATCTCATCAATGGTATTTCTAATTCAAAATATTTTGATAAGGCTTTATGAAAAAAAATAGAATATGTATTTCAGATACTCTACTATCAAAAAGATTATGTTTATTATATAGTTTGTGTTTCCTAAAATAGTATGGAAATACTTATAAATTTCAAATGAAATAAAATAAGGAAGTGTTTGTACATACCGTTACTTATGGAGGAGTACGTTTTATGACATCCAGCCACTCCTTCAAGGAATTTATGCATGTCTTCTGGCTAAAAACAGGGAGATTCTTTCAAGAAGAAGAAATGAATTATTACAGATCTTACTAGATATATTTTGCCAACATCATTTGTACTTGAAAATATCGATAATCAGAAACGTTATTTTCAGCATTGGAAGTGACAAAAATATTGTAGTAGAAAAATTACAAGTTGAACGACAAAATTGGTGGAGGTTAGACATTTAAATTCTCACAAGTCCATATCTATTGTATAGAAAGGTACATAAATTCAGGAAAATAACTTTTTCTCTCGCTCTAATGTGAACAGTGTCGCAAATAAATGACGAAAAATGTTTACTGTTAAACTGAACTTCTCCATTCTATTTTATTAATCAATATTCATATTGTCATAATAGTTTATTCAAAATGTTTCAAAAATTTCAACTTCTTAATATGTTTTTGTTGCATTGATCATTATTTGCATTCAACGACGAGATCACGCCTAGTGTTTCCGACTCTGTGTACATAATGTCTATAATTTAGCAGAACCAAAAATAAACGACAAATCCATTAAATACCGAAACCTGTTGAATTAAAGTCGTGATTTTGAGTCGTGCAACTGAAGTGTCTCAGATGAATTGAAATGTCCCTTGCGTCGATGAGCGATTCGTGATAAGCTAGTTGTGATATAACTCCATATAATACCAAAATATATCGAACGAAAAGACAATTTTGAAGGTCACTTTAACAGCTCTTTCTGTATTTTTCTGCGACCGAAGAGTATTACAACGGGCCACGTCGCGCCTGCGAAATTTACTTTCCCATCCTCTTTCCACTCCTGAGAACCAAACTTTGTACTGATCCTAGATTCATAATGAAACTAAAGTTACATGATACTCGGCAATATTACACGATGTACATGGGTCACGTCTACCTGCATGCACGAGTCAAACCCAAGCCTCATCTGGGCAGGAGCGCCACCGAAGGCAGAAATAGGCACTTTGAGAAAAAATAGACGAGACACCGAAATCCGTTAATGGCATGACCCTTTTGCACATCTCAGTACTTACTGCATTTTGGGCTGTTAGAAGTGTCACCACGGCGGCGAGGCACAGCAAAACTAGGGTACGAACGACATTGGTGGTCATGTCTGCGGGCTGGGGAGGCTGGAGTTTGTGAGGACTGGCGGCGGCGACTGTGGCGGTGAGACGGACTGCTGGGCAGTGGAGGCCGCAGCGCTCGCTTTAAAGAGTGTGACGGTCGCCACCATGCTTCCGTCGCCCCCACCGCCGCCGCCAAGGTCCCCACGGAGCGCCGCCAATTTCACGCCTTCCTCCTCCTCCGTTTGATTGACACGCCGCCCACGCCCCCGCCTCCACGCGACCGCCGCCGGGCGCCCCGGGGGGGGGGGGGTGCGGCTGGCCGAGGTTGCGTATTTGTTTACCCGCTGCAGCACGGGAATATACAGGGCAACCGATCTTCCCGCGTATTGAGTGGGTGACACTACAAAGTAGTTTAAGGGTGGAATCAAAATCTTGTCAGCGAACTTGTAGTTCGCTTCTAGTTTGAAGGCAATATTGTGAGGACGTCACTTTATGAGAGCAGGAAATTATGTTTAGAGTGTCATTGCTCGATTGCAATTTGTACTGGGAACATCTGGAATGCAAGAATTAGGGTCAGAGCGCCCGGGTTTGCCACTACTATGGCCTGCATACCTTCAGCCCTACTCCGAACTGAGCCCTCGTCGCGATGGCTCACCAAGTAGTAGCGGGCCACCGGGGGCCGGCAGGTTAGAGCTGGGCGACGGCACGCCAAGTGGGCCAGGCGCTTGGGCAGCCCTGCTTTAGGGTATACTCGTTCTTACCGCGGAGAAAGTTAACGTAACGTATTCTTGGACAAAGTACCTTCGTGTGGATGTGTCAGGCTCCGATTCGTGACCTACAGAGGAGTGCGGTGCAAGGGTGGATTAGGTGGTGAAATAAATGTGAAATTTGAATTTGGGTGACCGGGAACTAAAGTGGTGTATGAAATATTTTGGCAAAAATGCAGGTAATAGTAAATTTTATCTCAACAGGTGAACATCTATTTATTCTGATGTGTCATTATGTCATTTGTCGTTTTAGATGCACAATAAAAGTACCACTTTAAAATTGGCACAGGATTATACAGTAAAACCAAAATTCCCTCGTATTCAGGTGGGTTTTATTTAATTTTACGGAAAGTTCAGTTGCACTGTATAATCCCGAGCTAATATTAAAGTGGATCAAGTGGAAGGGGCAGCGGCGGCGGAGGCCAGAATTGGAAGAATTGATGGGGGATTGGTGGTGTGGTCGGGTATTGGGTTGGGTGTTGGGTCGGGTGTTGGGTCGGGTGTTGGGTCGGGTGTTGGGTCGGGTGTTGGGTCGGGGTGTGGGGTTCGGTGTGGGGTCGTGGTGTGGGGTTCGGGTGGTGGGGTCGGGTTGTGGGTCGGGTGTGGGGTCGGGTGGGGTCGAGTGGTGGGGTCGAGGGTGGGGTCGAGGGTGGGGTCGAGGTGGGGTCGAGGGTGGGGTCGAGGGTGGGGTCGGGGTGGGGTCCGGAGGGTGGTGTCGAGGGTGGTGCGAGGGTGGTGCGAGGGTGGTGGTCGAGTGGTGTCGAGGTGGTGTCGAGGGTGGTTCGAGGGTGTCGAGGTGTGTTCGAGGGGTGGTGTGAGGGTGGGTGTCGAGGTGGTGTCGAGGTGGTGTCGAGGGTGGTGCCGGGTGGGTGTCGGGTCGGGTGTGGTTTGGGGTGTTGTGTCGGGCGCTGGGTCGCCCGCGAAGTCGGGCACAGGGTCAGGGGGCGGGATGTGCAGGAGGTCGAGGAAGGGCGCGGGTGTTCGAGCGTGAGGGAAAACTCGCCTTACGTAAAGTGCTTCGCATTGTGGAGAGCGCGACGACGGAACACACTGACGAAGCTCCTTTTTTTAAAAAGTTCGTTGGCGGCTGAAAAATATGATAATGCGGACGCCGAAGATGGATGGAGGATTTTTATGTACACTTTCCGCAGAGGAAAAAACATGGCGTGCCATGTGACGTGAACTGAGGCAATCGAGATGACAGCAAAATTGAAGTTACCTTGTAACCCTGCCTGAACAAAGCTTGGGAAAATTCTGTGATTTTAATTCTATAAATGCTGTCCTTTGTGAGTACCCAGATAGCTTGCATTATATGTTTGTGTATTGCAGCTGTTACTTTTATTCATACTTAATTTTACTTTCTCCTATTCTACTAACAAAATAGAGAAAGTATTGTAATGGTTCTTGAAAAATCGACGATTTTTCAACAGTCCGTATGTCCGAGTGTTAATCCGCCGGTGAACAACGATAGCTATATACCGTACGCAGGTTTTTGAATTGATAATGGAATTTGAAATAGATATTTTAAAGTCTGTGAGTACTCAACTTTTTTAAAATTTTTACTAAAATATGACTCCAATTGTTTCCTTTAATTCTTTTTCTAGGAAAGAACAAAAATGCTTATAAAATGGGTTATGATTCATTTTCATTGAACTCTCTGAAATTTCGAAAGTTGCTGAAGTTGTAAATTCTTTGGACGTATTTCTGTAGCTATAATAAGAAAATAAATATTTTTCTTCAAATGGTATTAGTTCTGTACTATTAGTTATTTTGAGGCTACGAACGGCAGGGTGGTGTAACCCACAACATTTTTATTAACGGTTTTTTGTTGAAGTGCAATCTTTGAAGGTAGATCTACCGACTGCACAGGGAACTAAGAAACGTTCTGAAATTGATCGCTAAATGACACCACAATAGTGCTTTTGCCATTGCGTATTTGGAGCACTCCGTTGTAAGCAAAGTGGACTACCCTGAGGTTAACTAAGGTGGAGCGCTTGAAAATCCAATGGCTTAGAAAATAATCTTATAAAATTGAATATAAATATTCAAATACTCAAAGGGCTAATTTTGAGACACTTGCCATTAAAATAAAATCAATTACAACAGAAAATGAACTGCCACTCTTATGTTCCAAAACCAATATCATCAATGAAACTAAAAATGATCTTATACAACTATCTTTAGTTCCCCAGTATGTCATTATTTACAACAATATTTGATCATCCGTACAGGCCTCTGGGGCTGAACTACTAACTGATGACTTACTGGAGGAGGAAGTTGTTTAAAAATAAATTTTAGAGTTTAATGTGATTTAACTGTGCATTCAATTATCATGTACACAGCTAATGTTCAAAATAAATGCAATAAATATGAAGTGTTTTTACTTATTGCACCAAAAGGACAAAATTCTAAAAGAGCAATGTGGTCTAACCTACATTAAACATCAAAATCCTAAAAGAGCTATGTGTAATAACACATTTTAAAAAGTATATTTTTGATATTAAGTAATATGTGTGGACACTTATATGTACCTTCAGTCACCTTATAACATTGACAGAGTTACTTGAAATAGCACGATCCCCAAATAAAATAATTCTGTGTAACATAATTTTAATGATATTTTCAAACGCATTTTCCTCCATTTCCTCCTAAGTGGGTCAGGCAACTCTGCTGCTCGTAGCATTGTTTAAACGTAATATACATTGTTTTGAAAATATTCCGCTCAATATAATTTAATAATATATAACATCTAGGCATGCAGGCGCCCATGGAAAGCACAGACTATGCGTCCCAGTCAGGATAATTCAAATTAGGGTTGTTACTTGTTTTAGCGATTATACTCTAAACAGCGCCCCTGTGAGTGGATAGCATGGCTCGTGCCGTGTCTGCTATGCCTTAGATATACCACTGCATGCATGCATATCTCAATACGTATTGGAAACATTCAAAATCAAAATTATAGTACTGAGGAGAAACTGAACTTGTCAGTGATTTGATAATTTTCCTCCGCCGTACAGCCACCTCCATGTTTTAATTGATATCGTAACACTGTTCAACTTTTTTATGACATGATTCCTTTCTTCATAGCGGAGCAGAAGGTCCAAATACAGGCGAGGGTCTAAAAACGGGCTAGTTTCTGTTGTGAAGCCCGAGGGTGTCGCTCTCTATCGGGAATGGCGTGAAACTAGTCCCCTCGAGACTAGTTCAACGAGACTCAGAAGACCAGAGACAGCCTCCCCAGAGATTCAGAATTTGAGGGACCACAATCCACCAAAATCCTCACAAAGATGATGCTTCCTGTCTGTTTTGCAAACGGATGTTTTCTGAAGACATAAATGGTGAAGATTGATTACAGCTTCTTACACGTCATGGGTGGGCACACACAGAATGTGCTGGTTGGGTAAGAGATGTGTATACATGTGATTTTTGTAAGTGAATACCCGTTTTTGTGATTATATTTTACTGTTTGCAAGTGTACTTTACTGTCATTACTTTTTCATGATATTTTTAAAAAAAAATTAGAGGTAGCCCATATTTGGAACCCATTTTCAAAATGCGGCTTTTTGCAAACTTTTTTAATATATTTTTGTGAAACTGTGATTTTTTATTCTGAAACTTTCCAGAACTAAAGGATATGAATCAAAGGTATGACTCAAAGTTTAAATACCCCCATATGTTCAAAATTGTGCCAATTGCATTAAAAAATCAAATGCTAGCCCATATTTGGACCTTCTCCTATACAAACGCGGTTCCTCGTGGGTGTTTTCTGTGTGCGAAACTACTAATTTTTCAGTGTGTGAAACATCTGTAACAATTCGCATTTGTCTTTCCTCTTGACGTCTTTATTTATTATTTAAAAATAAGTGTCACGACAGATTGGAATTACCTTTGTAAAAGTAAGTTATTTCTAGTTATTTGAAATTTAATTTTATTCCTTTACTTGGAGCATTACGTTTCGCTTAAGAAAAAAGTAAACGCACATGGGTGCGAGGTGATTCCTGCACTAGTCTCTTGGTTGTTCTTTCTACGCTCGGACGATAAACTCGACTCGTGCGTAAATAATCTGTTTCGCGCCCTTGTTCTGTAAACCATTACCAACATGTTTTATTTCAAGCAAATCTCTATGGCGTAATTGAAGTATGGTATTGAGAGGTCAGTGAGTGGATAGTTTTAATCTGAAAATAAAATAAATGTGACAATTAAAAAAAAAGAATTTTTATGGAACAAAATTACAAATTAGTACAAAAGAAAGAATAGAATAAAAAAAATGTTCATTCTGACAAACCAAACCACAGGGCAGTGTCGTAAGGATTTTCTTCTAGAGCTTCTGGCCGTCTCATA